TTTATCGAAAACTCAGCTGCTAACAGCGCCATCAGTCTGCATGGCTAGCGACTCTGGCATCAAAGACCGTTCGGGCGTAGGTTCATCCTAAATGCATTACCGCCTGAAATTAAATCGCTGCAAACTGACTGCATATATTCTATCGAAGACCTGGGTTCACGAAAAACCCCGCACGAAATTCCCAACCTGCAGAGACTGGACGCAAGGACAAGGGTTTATTTCTTTGGGGCCTTAACTGTCTTAACGGGCGAATCAAAAATGAAATTCAGTGTTTGTCGGTTTGGGCCGAGACCAAAAAGCTTCGCCAGTTGCGGATTTGCGCTAGTTGACATATGTAGGTGGCTTGTTCAGCGCGATCAAACCCAGTATTGTCTAACTTTATCATACGAAGGCCAGACAGAGGTGGAACCGCACAAGATCGTATAGGATAACCCGACAGTTCTGGCTGTCCTGTGACCCATATAAAACAAGGACTGGACCTTCAATAGATTCTGTCTCAGCTGCGAGGACCTGCGATCAGATGAATCAGTCGAGCACTTTCTGTGCGAGTGCACAGTCCACGCAAGCATGAGGCTAGGACCAGTAAATTCGGCTGCAATCAGGTGTCTGCCTTGGAGCAGGTAGCTCGCTATGTTATTGTGTACTTCCTCCATTTCTAAATTTGAGTTGGGTTTTGGACCTGCAACGCAAACACCCCTTCAAATGGCAAAACTCAGAATGGCTGTGATGACGAATGAATATATCTTTATGGGTAAGATGCCCTGCCCGGCTGGTGGATGTCACTGCTATCCAAGATGGACGGGGCAAGGGACCTTGGGGCGTCTACTATAGCCGACTGATAAAAGAGCACAAATTCGGTGGAAGAGAGATTTCGTTCAAAAATAAATAATTTATTTCATCCCAGTAAACGGTTCTATCGCTACAACCCACACACCAAAGCGAAAAGAAGAAAACTTTGGTCCCATCATCGAAGCAAACAGCATCCGCGTTCCCACGGCAGATTTATATCTGGCAAAGGACTGTCACTCCACCATCACTCCCCAAAAACTCTTTGGAAAATTTGCATGCTGTTACAGTAACAACAGCGAAACGGCCGCTAACGGAATGAGGCTGATCGACTTCACCCGGTCTTCAGCATTAAAGCTCCATCAGGCTACATGGCGGTCCGCAGATCGTAAACCTGGGAACCAAATAGATCATGTTGTTATGGACCACTATCTCGTTGCAGCCAAAATATCCACTCAACTCTGTACCCTAAACAAAAATTTGATTATTTCTCCGCCATTCAGCTCTCAAACCAGCTCTCTGAGAGCGCTTGCCTACAGACCGCTAAATGCGGGCAGTGGAAACATGCCGCTGCAGAGAAAAAGATGCCGCAGGGCTACGATGCGATCGGATATAAATCGAGCAATCTACATAGTGAGCTCAAGAGTGAAGCGAGACGTATTTTCCGGAATAAAAAGAGAAAACCTGAAATACGTGAGTGCGAAAGAGAGAATATGAAAGCCAACGCTCAGTGGAGGGCATGAGGGGTGGGTCCCCCTACTATATCCAAGTGCGAATAGTTACTGAAAAACAGCAAAGCTGCTGCAGCTGACGGCCTGCCAGCTGAGCAAGTACTGCATTTGATTAGAGGCAAGTGTTAACTCGTATGCAGAATTTGGGATTACAAGTAGTTGCTTTCTTGTTTACTTACGCTCTAGCTCTCTTCTGTTAATTTCTAGATATATAATTATAGAAATGTGAAGAAACTCTTTCTGGCAACACTCAGTCATCAGCATTCCTGGCTCGAACCTCTGTCGATTGGAATTTTCGTGTTTGAATTTTATATTCTCGACTGAAATTTATAAACTCACTCACATTTTATTTTATTTTATTTCTCGTAGTACATATATCTATTTATTTGTTCTATAATGTCCATAATATCTTTCTAAATGTCTCCGCTTTCTTTAGATCTGTTCGTTAATTGCGCTATTTCGAAAATATATTGTATGTTTTTGTGAATTCCATAAAGTGCTTGCGCTTTTGGCGTACTCATTCATTATGAATTATATTGACTTGCTCTTTCATTCTAATTATACCCCATATTAATCGTTTTTTTTTTTAATTTATCTCTGCATAAATTCTTAATTTTTATGAACAGCCAAAACTTGTTTAATACGATGAGCTCGCTGTTGAACCAGGCACTCCCCGATATTCACAAATGGTCCGAGAAAGTAGGCGTCAATGCAGGCACGTAGGTCAGAGGCAGTGTTGCCAGGTTGCAGATTTGGTTGACATTTTGAAGATTTTTTACTGCCATGAAGATTTGACGATTTTGTGCTCCAGTGTCGATTTTTCTTTTTGTGCAAATTTGGCTGGTTCCCAACTTTGAAGATAGTTACACAGACAACTAAAAATTGCAGTGTAAACACTTGTTGAGAGTTTATCATTTCTGCTAATACATAATTGTCGTAACGAAATTATAGCATGTGGCAGCACTAATTGTAGTTATCGATAAGTAGTTTTGTTCCTTGTGTCATCACTATTTGTGCAGGGATTTGCGGGATTTGTAATTTGCACTGATGGCAATAATAGAAACTCCTTTTCTTGACCAGTATTGGCAATATGTATTTCTTTTTTTTTTAATTAATATTTTTTTACAAATGTCTAGCTCATTATACATACATATAACACCGTGCGATAGTAAATTTTACACACAAAAATCATTATAATAGCGAAACCATAAGCCAAATAGGTATAGTAAAATTGCGTTTTTAATTTTTCACTCTGACGTCAGTAATTCAAAACTGATTTAAAAAATTCAGTAAAATGTACTTAGAGAAGAAGTATTGGTTTCAAATTAAAGAGAAAATTCTGTAGAATTTAATCAATTTTTTGGTGCATAAGGACTGGGAAGTATTGAAAATGTCTTTTAAAATTGTATCCTTGAAATTTAGCAATATTGGTTTTTGAAAAAATTATATGTTAAGGACTTATATAAACTCCATAGCATTCTCGAATTACGTCCTTCTAACCTTATCAGCTAAAAAAGTTACCTTGTCCTTGTGAATCCAAAAAGTTTAATTTTTTTTATTCTAGAAAATATCCTCATTTCATTCGGTACCCATATTTTTTATCTACATTGCAATCAATTTTTTGAATAATTTTTTGAAATTAAAGGAATTTGAAATTACAACGCCCTTTAAAATAAATACTGGCTTTAAATAAAAAAAGCAGGTTTCAAACCCATTTATTTATTATTTATTTTATGGTAGGAGAGATAGAAGCAATTTTTTCTATTTAAATTGTTGAAAAGTAATGAATATCTAAATCCCGGGACTAATCCCGGGATACCGGGATCGCGATACATACATCCCGAAAATCCCGGGATCGTAAAAAGCGAAAAAATTAACAACCCTAGTATGTATGTATATGCTTCGCTACTATTACTACAGCGATATCGTCTGCGAACTCCATTCCTTTTGCTCGAGCAGGCATATCGCTAAGCCCCTTTATATGTTTGCTTGTTTGTTTGCGTACTTTAACAAATAAATTATTACATCCTGAGGCCATTCATTTACTAACCCCCAAATAAATGTATGAACTAAATTAACTGAAATTTATACAACCAAATTGAATTTGCACTTCCAAGCTCCGAACAGACTCCATCCCAATTCCCCAGAGAATCAAACAATGCCACAAAATAATATATGTTAGTACGTATGTACATACATATATGTACCTACTTCCACAATAAACAGCAACAAATAAGCAACAACAAAATCCATGAAACAACGGCAAAAACTCGCAAAAGCGATGGCCGCTTGTGGCAGCTGAGGCGATTAAGGCGGAGCATAAACACATGCGAGCGAACAGCGACAAACAAACAAAAGCGCGTGCACACGCACGCAAATGCATTTAGCTGCAAGCGCGTTCAAAGCCAATAAGTATGAGCTGCTAACGCAGCTGTCGAAAGAGCGAGTGAGAAAACTAGCTTGCGCTTGTGTTGGCAAAAAGTATCTAAACGCATACAACGACAAGTAGATAAAACGCTACAAATATAAAGAGGGGTATATGTGTATATTGCATGCGTGGGAAAAAAAAAAAATGATTCTGCAAAGGGCTCGGCGGTGTTGCAACAAAGGAGCTCGCATGCGCTTGGCCGATGGGACATCTTCTGAGCTTTGCCAGCGCTTTAGTTTATGCGGAAGCGTATTTTAAGTACTAGGCGGCGGCACTTTTTCATCTTTGCGCGCAAATCGATACGAAGATGCATACATATGTACTTACTTACAAAACACAGCTACTACGTATTTACATACATACAGAGTATAAAGAGATTTTAACACAGATCGATGGATTATCGAATCGCGATTTATTTCTGTTTTCTGCTGTGTTAGTTGGTTGCGTTCGGAAAGATTTCAGATACGATTATTGCATGTTTAAGTGCTTGTATATGTATGTATGTATTTTCGGAATCAAGGTGGCATCGGTCGTCGGTGTGATGCAAGACAGCACGCGACAAAAAATGCAACAATAACAAAAAAAAGCATATAAAAGTATGTGTTTGAGTGTGTGTGTGTGTATATGTGGTGGCGGGGTATTGGCGTGAAAGCAAGCAAACATACATACATACGCATATTGAATTACAGCTTGAGTGTTGTTTCGGCATTGGCGTTTCCCCCCTTTCCTGCAACAGCCGCACGAACAATCATTTGAGAGTTCTCCATTTTTGTTTTTTTCTCATTGTTTTTGTGTTTCCGCCAAATGCAGCTGCTGCAGCCGCCACACACACGCAACGAATGCAAGCCACGTACGTGCATAGGTCTCTGCTGAATTTGTATTGATGTGCGGCAAACACTGATTTACTACCACACCGATATGTAGATACATATTGTTGTAGTAGGGAGCTTATACATGGGCAAACTTAAACTTGCATGCATATTTACATACATACATACATATCTACAAACAAAAGCATGTATACGCGTCCGCATGCCTTCCGAGGCCATTCAGTTTTATCTGGCGAGTCAGTAAATATTCGTGAGATTTACAATACGCTCACAAAATATTGACTAGCCTAGCTTTTAGCATGGCGGCAGTATTTCGTTGGCGTACATTAGCGTGAAATCGCGGCACGCTTTGTTTGTTGCACATTCCGTTGCATTGTCAACGCTACAAATGCCGTTGTGTTGGACGCGCGCGCAAAGTGCACAGAAAAGTATCTAAAAACGTGCGATATTTGAACGCGGCGCAGATAACGCTTTGTGTAGGACACTTAACTTTTTTTCCCGTATTTTTGTTTTGTTTCGTTTGAGAAGAGTGCTACCTACCGCCCAATTGTTTTCGGTTCATTGTGTCAAACAGCGTTGAGAAAGAAAAGAAAAAAATTCTTAAAAAAAAAAATAACGAAAACAAGCCATCGGAACAAACGCAGTGACGCGGCACAACAAAGGCTGCCGCCAACAAACAACAAGTAGATATACTAAAAAGCCTATAGCGCTGCGCTTACATTGAAACAGTAGCTGAAGAATTATTGTATTGCCACATCACATCCGCCGCCGCCGCCGCCGCCGCCGTCGACCATTGTTATTGACAACGCGCTACTAGCGAGCTACGTTGGGTTTGGCACAAAAGCAATCGCCGGCATAGCTACGGCCACAGCCACCATCGCATATATCGTACGTAACCCCCTTCCTGCTGCTTAGTGCGTCACCACCTCTAATTAACTGAAAATCGCCTCCTGAAATATTCCTTCGGTCTTTTCAATTGTGATTTTTTTTTCTTCTGCCTTTTTCTTGTTACACGCCGTCGCATTGTTGTCTGTTGTGCTCTGCCATACGTCGCTGTCGCCGCAGACATTGAGTCGCCATTGAAAATTTGTTGCTTTCATCGCTGACTGTTAACCAACCGCTCGCCATTAGTCGCCATTGTTGCTGGTCGGCCCTACATAAAGTAGCATACTTCATCATCCGTTGCCGCCGCCGTCGCCATAGCAACCATGTTGGTACCGCCGGATATGCTGGCTGCGCAGACGCGCATGATTTATCAGATGAATCGCTATTGCGCGGAGCGTGTTCAGGCGCGTATGTTCAAAACTGCCACGGCCATACGGGAAATATGCAAAATCGTTCAAGACATTTTGAAAGAGGTGGAATTGCAGGAGCCGCGCTTCATCTCCAGTCTGGTGGAGTGTAATGGCAGGTGAATATTCGTATTAAATTTTTAAATTTTTTATACGGCACGTTTGTGAAAGAGAAATTTACTCAAAAACATTTTATTTAACTGTACATTCTTGATTTTATAATGTAAGTATGTAGTCCACAGCTATTTTCTTAGAATGGCTAGAAATATAGATAAACATACGGCAACCACATATTGACAAGTTTTGAGGATTTATTTTGCTATTATTAAATTTTAATAATTTTTTACCATAAACATGGTTCATTCTATAACAAAAACCATATAAATCCAAGTTTCAAACTTTTTACAAAAAATAAAAAAATTAACAAAGTTTCATTAAAAGTTCACACCTTTTATTCAGAATTTTGTAGAAAATTTCAGGGTTTGCAACTTTACAGTACACTTAACTCTATTATAATTAAGTGCAAGTATAAAGTAACTACAAATGCCGTTGATTTCTAGTAATTTTTATTGTTGACGGTGTTGTGAATTTTATTTTCCAAAACATAAAAAAATTTCGAACATACATACAATTAAAAATTTGTCCAAAATTCACGCTATTTTTTAGCCTCTTAAAACTTCTACTTTTTTTATACATGCTAGAATTGAATGGGCTATAAAACTGCGTACCCAAACATTTTATGAAAATTCTGATTAAAAAGTGTGAAATATTAATGGAACTTTGTTGAATATTTGCACAAAGTTTTAAACTTTGAATTGTATGGTTTTGTCATAAGTAGAATGAACTACATATATTTTTATTAAAAGTAACTAAAATTTAAATAAAACAAAAAATTATACTCAAAACTTGTCAATGCGTGGGTGTCGTATAGTCTTGATACGCACTATGTATCTTTAGTTTTCACAGGTTTCGTTGTTATTATTTTTTATTCAAAATGAAATTATTTAAATTTTATAACCATTGAATTCAATCAGAGGTTCCTAAACTTTCTTCCTCGTGAACCATTTTCAAAATTTGTATGCTATCGAAAAGCTAAATTAAGAAGACCCATATGCCGGCCTAACTGAAAAAAATTTCAAGCCCGTGGACCAAAAAAAATCAAAAAATTAGCAAAATTATTTTTTCGCGCTATCTGTCAGGATTACATGAAAAGTCTGAAAATTAACGCTTCAAAATGATTTTTTTAAGTCTCAAGCCGGTACAAGTACAAGTACAGCCGGTCAAAAATCACCGCAAGCTTTGGATTTTCTTCTGCTCCCTTTATTTTTTGGGGTAGCGTATTATCTGCCTACATTGGTAAATAAAGCCAAGCCAACATGTTTTTTTCTTTACTATCGAAACCAGATAAATTTTCGTGGACTCCCACTTAAAAGTTGTGAACCCCTAAACTAGAGAACAGCTAGGAAAGAAGTGCTGAGATGATTACACCACGATATTAAGTCGCACCGCCTGGGTCGCTAAAGGACAATCTCCGGTCAGTATACCTGTAAGAATTGAGAGCTGGCGCTTATCCAGTTGCATAAGCTCCCTTTGACCGTCTGCGGTCAACAACCGGCTAGAAGGACCGCACAACTTTGCATATCGGGGTTTTCGCTCAGCGCCCGATGAGCCGACGGTCAGCCCAAAAGCCAATTCATCAGCCCTACAATTTTCAGTGATGCCTCTTTTACAGCGGCTACTTCTGCCTAAAAGACGCTGCAGAGATCCGTCAGTCTGAACATAAGATCTCTTAAGAGTTCCTGACAGTAGGCACCTTCTCCACCTCTACCGTCCAGCTTCGATTCGTCCGTGAAGACGTTAATTGGACCGAGCCTTGGGGGGATGTGCATGGAGAGGGATCTTTGATAGAATTTATGTATGAAACATAACTTGCCGGTAGAAGAAATCTGAGACGTTTGTTATTAACGTAAAAATGTCTAAAAAAAAATGTATTAAAAAATGAACAAGTATATGTACCTTGGCTGCAACAGATGCAGGAGCGTATCGACGGAGCTCCATTCATCCTCATCTCCTCTATCTTCCCGTGGCCACCGGCCTTGCCCTACCCGTCTGGTAAACACTTTATTTTACTGTGAACGGTGAAAAATATTTAATATTTATGTTATAATCATACGAAAATTTAATATTCGCCACGAGATATCAGTTTGATACCAATCTATGCCCACTAAAACGAACAACTATTGCCATTCTTATTACTCATATTAAGAAAACGAAGCGAAGGTTTACGAGAACCATGAAGGGTGTGAAAAGTAATGCGGTTTGGATTGAGCATAAATATTTTACAAAAACAAATACACAATATTTCTTATGTAAATACATGAAAGAAGAATAGTATTGAGTGCTTTTACTTGTACTCGTTTGCACGGCATGGTTGATCGACAATTCAGGCGGAAAATAGTCACTTATTATTGAAGACACAGAAGCCATTAAGCGCCTACAGACAGCTCTTGAGGTGTACCCGCTTATCAGACGGTCGGTCTGGTTGCTTGTCTACTTATGGCTCCTTCCTACTTCTTCGATTTGTCAAAGTAGTATGGGTTGTGCAATTTGTCCATCAAATGAGACATTAACACGAGCCTACTTGAGTTACGTGCTAATTGCTGTGGTTTGTCTTCATATGTTGACTTTAGTACAAAGAAGTACCTAATGTATGAAGAAGTTTTGTATGCAAAAATGTACTATACATAGTATGTATGTTTGGCTTTAACTACATTTGGATGTGCGTGTATACCTATATACATATTTACATATACCCACAAATGTCGCTCTTCTAGCCAAGTAGATTGTTGATGTATACAACATATAAAAATTTATATCTGAGTTAAATTTTGTATCCCTCTGCATTTACAGATTTGAAGGCGTCCAAGTGGTTTCACCCAACGAATTCGAAATTGTCTTATATCTTAATCAGATGGGCGTTTTCAATTTCGTCGACGACGGTACAATGCCCGGCTGTGCTGTGCTGAAGCTCAGCGATGGCCGCAAACGTTCCATGTCGCTGTGGGTGGAGTTCATTACAGCATCGGGTTACCTATCTTCGCGCAAAATACGCTCACGTTTTCAGACATTGGTGGCACAAGCGTGTGACAAGAGTATTTATCGCGACATGGTTAAGATGATCGGTGATACAACGGAGGTGAAGTTGCGCGTGCGTGAACGTTTTGTGGTACAAATAACACCAGCATTCAAATGCTCGGGCATATGGCCACGTTCGGCGGCACATTGGCCATTGCCACACATCCCCTGGCCACATCCGAATATAGTTGCTGAGGTGAAAACCGAAGGTTTCGATTTGCTATCGAAAGAATCTATTGTTATGCAGAATAAGAACAATAATGCGGCCATGGAAGGCGATGCGTGGGTGTTGAGCTTCTTCGAGGCGGAAAATCGACTGTTGCAAGGTAAACGCTTTTCTGGTTGTGCTAATTTTAGACGAGGTGGTTCTTTATTTACTTTTATGTATTAGACTTGCAGTTGTAAACGTAGTAAATTCGATTAAATTCAGGAAAAGCATTAGGATGCTCGTATGTAGGTATCATCTCTCCAATTGCAAGTGCGTATGTACATTAGGGTGGTCCAAAACAATAAAGTGAAGTAAGGATTTGAATGCTTTCCATCTGTTTTATAAGGAAAATGTATAAATGGTATATAAGTCTTGAAAATCAAGAGTTTTTCATCGGAAAACTCTGTTTCTCTTCAGGATGCTCCCAATGATACCCTATAGTTTATTTAACCATATTGGGTATTATTATTGGAGGTCTCCAGAAGAGAAACAGAGCTTTCCGATCGAAAAATATTGATACCACTTCCACAAAAAAATGTTTTCTCCCCTCATATGTAAGATGGCTCTTCGAATTACAGTCATGCAAGCATACATATTTCAAAATGAACATGCAAAAGTTCGATAGAGAAACGCTTCAACTTCTTCTAAACTCCGAACTAGTTTAGAAGAAGTTGAAGCGTCAATGCAAGTCTAGACCGGAGAGAATGGTAATGAAGATATCTTATTTGGTCAGAGATTGCACATACCAGAAATAACTTGGTCCGCAGCCACTTAAAGCATTGCCATCTTTAGCCATTTACACAAACATATGAATCTGGGTGAATATTTTTCTTAAAATCCATATTTCCCTTTATGTGAGATTGCTGACTGGTCACTGCTCGTCTTAGAAACACCTCTGTGATTAGATGGCGGAGCACATGTTTGTGCTTCTGCTCTGCCTTTGCAAGGATTAGGTATGAGGCTTTTGGCAGTGCAGTATTTAGAGGCGAACGGCTGAGCTATTTAACCGCCCAACAATAATGCATATCACCACTTAAGCAAGAGAGCCATGCCGAGAAACCCCTGCCTAGTGGTATAGGGGCTAATGTGTGTGTTTTTTCGATAATCCAGAAACGATTTCGGCTCAATTATTTTCTTTATTGCTCCAACACGCCACGGAGTTAAAGGAACCCGCCGACACTAAACTTGTATTTGATGTCTTCGAGTGTGTCTGCCATGAGAAGGCCATTTCCGTTCATAATATTCGTATCAACACTCGCGAAATTGTACATCTTTTAAAGTTGGGTTCTTACTGAGTTCTTCCATTCCTTTGAAATCAACTTGTGCAGATCATGAGAGCATCTAGGGACTCGGCTCTGCAGTATCTGGTAAGTGAGGTCGATAGGTCCAAGTAATTCAAGTAGATTTTTCTGTTAAACTCCTTAGGCATCAAGGCGGCTTTGATGATAGAACCTATCGATCTGCCTCTAAGCCACTAATTCATAGAGGCATTATACTGAATGAAACCGATGTAGCTTCGGCGAGACCTAAGAGTTAGTACGATCGAAGGATGCCCATGTCTGGCGTCTTGCTATGGTTGTATTTATCATGAAAGAGTTCCAGTGGTTTGCCGCATTCTTGGTTGTACTAAGCACACCTGCTTGTGCGGTTCAAAGTTCTCGAACAAAACGACTTTATAAGCATTTTTCAGCAAGATCGGAGAGGGCTTATAACTAAGCTCTCATCAAAGTGTCCATTAACCCGATGAACACGTAGAAACTTGTGAATGAGTGTGCAAAGGACGAGTAACTGCTAATTTCGGAGTCAAAAATTATAGTAACCATTTATTTTAGTATCCCTTGAAGCGACTTAAGATGTCCATCCCCTTAATTTTTGGGCAGTAGTCGGATAAGACTAGGAAAATGTCCCTCGGGAAAAATTAGAAAATGTCCATCATGAAACACATGAATATACGTATATGTATGTATATTTATTGCACTCTAAACACTAATATCTTCCACCTCTTATCATACCCCTTCCAGGTGGCTGCCGTCGACGTTGCTTAAGTATTCTCAAAACCTTGCGTGATCGTCACCTCGATCTGCCTGGCAATCCGATCACCGCATACCATCTAAAAAATCTGCTGCTCTACGAATGTGAAAAGCATCCGCGTGACTTTGAATGGGACGAGGCGTATATCGCTGATCGCATCAACGGCATCTTCCTACAGTTGATCTCATGTCTACAATATCGACGATGTCCACATTATTTTCTGCCGGCACTAGACATGTTCAAAGGCAAATCGCCCAGTTCGCTGGAGCAGGCGGCCAAGCAGGTTTGGCGTTTGACGCGCGAAATGTTAACCAATGCAAATGCATTTGAAAAACTCTAAAAGCAACAACACAGGTATACAAAGTGCATACATGTATTTATTTAACAAGAATTAAAAAAAATAAAATTTAACAAAAAATGCAAAACGAAAAACAAATGCAGCACATTAGCATTAAAAAGGCATTAAATGGTGAGCGATTGTAGCAAAAGGAAAAGGTTAACAATGCTTGCATTTGGAAGTACGAGTATGTCGAGGTGCTCAACGCTAATGTTTTTTATGGATCGCGCTTTCATGCGTATGCATGTGTGTATATTAGGGTGCACCACTCTCCATACAAAAAAAGACCGTAATGTTCTCCAAAATTTGTTATATTTTAAGACTTTCGCCAAAATATTTCGAAAAAAATTTAAGATTTACATACATGAGCAGGACCGATTTGAAAACATTTCTAAAAATCGATTTTTTTTATAAATAAAATTTGGTTTTAAAAATATTTTTAACCAAAAAATCACAGATTACAGATGAGTTTAAATTTAAAATTTACAAAATTTTAAAAATTGTGTCAAAGGAGTTAAATTAATGAAATTTTTGGAGGTATTTTTAAATCGGTCCAGCTCACGAAAATCTTAATATTTTTGTTCAATATTTTGGCGGAGGCCTTAAAATAAAAAAAAATATAATTCCGGTAAAAGCGACTTCATTTGGTGAGGCACCTTAATGTGCATACATTCAACATTTGCATGTATGGAAATTTGCATGCTTTTGCGATTGGAATGCATTGATACGCACCTAGGTATCGGCACCAAATGGCTGCTGTGTGAGTGTAGTTCAAGCGAGGAAAGCTACAAAGGAGCGGTGGCTGTTGACAAACATACCTATGAACAAACATTTATTGCTGCAACTGTAGTGTGTGCATATGTATGCATGTACATATTAATGCAAGCAACTGCATGTCACATCTGTGTTGAAGTGTTAAAAAATCGCATTAGATAAAATCTGCAACAGAAAACTACTTCATTTTCGAATTGTATGCGTGGCAGTTTAGCCGACCTACCGACAGTAAATCTACAGCAGCCGGCAAAAAAAAAAGTAGATTTACCCTGATATGAATGCGAATAGTTGTATTTATTTATAGTTGTCAGCTTGCATGCATATGGACCTGCATAGATGTGTTGCCATAGATAAAGTCATTCACGGGATTATCCTTCTTCGTTTATGTGCCTCGTGAAATAAGATGCATCTGCAAGCACAGGCATGTTTATATGTATATACATTAGGGTAGTCCTTAAATGCATGAAACACATTCTTGCATCAGATTTTCTAAACCTCAACCCCAACGTCGATGCTGCTATAGTCGAAGATATAAAACACATAAATTTCGGCAGCGGGCAAAGTTCAAATTCCTCTATGGAGACTCCATAGCAGACTCCAATCGGGACCAAAATTTATATGTGATATCTTCGATTATAGTAATATCGATTTTGGGTATTAGATGGAAATAATTAATTAAAATATTTGAGTTTGCCCCCTGTGCGACACGCCTTGACCGACTCTAAACGGGACCAAAATTTATATGTGATATCTTTCAACGTGGTAATACTGATTAAGGGGGTGGGACTGAAAAAAATAGTTTTGATTTTTTAAGGACCACCCTAATGTACATGCATGCATGTGCTCATAATATGGGCATGTATATAATATAATATATACATATATCATATTACAATGAAAGTGTTACTCATTTCCTCTGATAATACCGTGCAAATTTTGAAGAATTAAAAAAGATGTTAGCCTTTTTGGCTCATAAGGACGAATAGGTATTGGAAATTCCCTTTTAATTAATTTGACATTTTTTTAAGCTAATAAGGCTGGAATGGCGAAATTTGAGAATGTGGTTGAGTGAATATTAGTCCTTAAAATAAATTTTTTTCAAAAATATATTTTGGAAATTTTTAAAGATATTCAAAGATAAATTTTTAAAAGGACTCGTCCATATGCAGGAAAAAAAATTTACTTTTTTAATTCAACAAAATTTGCTTTTTTATATGATACCCATATTCTTATTCGACATTGCATTGAGTTCTTTAAATTATTTTTTTAATTCATCATATCTTTAAAATTTCAAAGCCCTAACGTCAGAGAGATAAACTAAAATGTAGTTTTACTATTACTGGCACCTGGTTTTACGAATATATTCATTTTTGGATTTCTGAAAAACTGTTCCCTTTTCAACTATTAGCTAGGCTATAAGACTATCTTAACAAAGCAATTAAGCTTGTAACTGTGTATACGAAATTTAAAAAAGTGCTATTTCTTTAACTTATAAACAAAAAATGAAAAGTTAGCGCTGTAGAGATTTTTTAAAAATTTCTGCGAAAAATTTTTAACTATTAAGAATTTGAGTGCTTAATGTAAACATCTGCAAAATAATCTTTCAATAATATTTTATGTGTTATAAACATCTACATACATACATACTCACATACTAGTTACATACTCATTTATATTTTAGTAACAATCTATTGTAATTATATTTCAGTAAATTTGTTATTAATTACGTATTTAGTGTTATAACCAATGTATACAATTTTAATATTTAATAAAATATATTATTGAAAACTTTTTAATGTTCACAACCAAAAGCTTTAATCAATGTCAAGGGTATGGTTAGCCAGTACACCGAGTTAAAAAGGCCGATGGCTACGGTGACCATATTAATGAGCGTAAAATAAAGGACATTTTCTTTAAATGATTTCAGTGTAAACCCATATCGGGTTTTAAATCAAATATCTACCTTTTTGTTGTATTATTTAATTGTTAAAATTTTCTACTTGAATGGTGCTGTAACCGGATTTCAACCGATTCCGCAAAATCAAACCAAATCCTTATCAATGACTTCGCCATCCTTTTCTGCCATAATATAATACAAATAAAGGACTGTCCTTCAAAATAAAGGACGGATGGTCACCGTGCCTATGGTTCCCTGTACCTACTCTTGCAAGGAAATGTTAGGTAAGAAGTGCGGTATACTTATGGTGACCATCCGTTCTTTATTTTAAAGGACATGTCTTTTCTGCTGTCCTTTGAGCTTATTTCTTTTTATGGAAATCTATTTGGTCCTTTGTTTCAAAACTTGTTCTTTGAAAGTACTTTTTTGATACGATGTCAGGCATTAATGAGTTTCATATACTACAACCTAGTACATACAATTGTGAAGAGCACAGGATATCAAAAAGTTTGAAATCCCATGCTACAAATTGACTGCAAATGTAGAGGGAATGTAGAGAGTCAAAGTTCAGCCAGAAGGTTCATTGTGATATCAACAGCGTAACCTGATGTGTAACACATCTACTTTCCCATGTAAGGGGCGCAAATATTCGCCCATACACAGCGGATAAGGCTGTGGATACTCAACGTTTCTTAGTCCACTAGGCAATCGTTTAAAGGATGCTGCAGATTACGTGGGCGTATTAAGGGCAAGCCAGGGAAGTGGCAGAGAAAGTACTAGATGCGTCGTTCCTGCAACTTCTGGAAAAGTCGCTTTAGGTTCCTCGCCATTGAACTGTGTCCGTTTACAAGACCAACCTCTAAGCTAAGAGATGATCACGGAAGTCTAAAGACTCCGATCTGTGTCCATCAATTCGTTGACCACTCCTTGTGGTTTTGTTATAAAATAAAAACATATCATATGCGTGCGTGTTGTTGTCGTTGTCGTAAAGCATACAAATTTCCCAGAGCTTTTGGCAATTGATGCTGGAGTGACTGTCCTTGGCCAGATATTATTCTGGGTCGTTCCGGTTACATAGACCAAACTGTCGTTGGAACGAACAGTCCTTCGTTTCTCTTTAAGCAAAACTCCAGAATACTCTTTCGATGATGGAAGGCATGGTAGGATACTGCTTTTGCTGAACACTTTGAAGCATCTACTTATTTCTTCGGTTGGCTCAAACATGGATTGTGGCGTAGTTTTTTTCAACTAACATACAAATAGAAAAGTGTCTTCGTTTACCGAATTCAGCTAATCAGCCTCATTGCATAGGTCGTAAATTAGATTAAATTGATCCGCTGGTCGACATTGGCCTTGCCTCCTGTCGTGCTGAAATAAATAGACGACGAAAATCGTCGTCCAGTGCTACCAAGTTTTTCCGTTTTAATACAGTAGTCGGGTCGACAAATTAGGCAATGCCATGCAAATCTCGGTACGACTCGACTCTCGAATAACGACTTGCACTCGACACGACATTCGCAATGAGGCTGAATGTTGGTTAGGCGGAGGTCTTTGTTGGCAAAGAAGCGTGCAAACTAATTTTTGTCACGGAGATAGCAGGGAATAGCATTAATGTTTCCTCCGATAACCAGACAGCGATCAAGGCACTTGGCTCTGTAAAACAATGCAGAGAGTAAGCTAAAGCCGCAGCTGATAGGCATGTTTCTTGCACTAACTTGGGTGCCGGGCCATAGCAGAATACATGGCAATTAGATGGCCGACGAGCTAGCCAGGAGCAGGTCAGCTTTAAATGTCTCCGAGGCAGAGGAGGTACTTGTGCCTCTGATCTATATCAAGGGTCGCATCTCTCAGCACTGGAAGAGGTGGCTAATAGCAGGTGAAAAGACTTGGGTACAATCCTGTAGGGTCTGCAGGAGTCTGTGGCCAACCTACTCCGTAAAACGCACTGAATATCACATCAAACTAAACAGGAAGGATTTGTCTCGACTTCACAGAATACTGGGCCGTGTGCACCATGCCGCAAGACTAGGACTGTTCAGAAGAAATCTTGGAGATGCGCCAAGACGTACATACATATTTACCATGGGAAAGGCAAGCTAAACCGAATCTACTTTCTCTTTCCAATCACAAAAGCGGAGTTATATTTTGATATTTAGAGAGAGGAGTAGATTTTAATTAAATAACAAGACATACCTACAACTTATAATATTAAGTTTTTTTCTCATTTCAACAATAGAAAATATTAAATTACTCGAATAACGAACGAATAATTCCCGAAAAAAGCAAAAAAAAAGTGCCCACAAGTGCTGCACGAAAAGTGGGCAAATAGTAATGAGAATGCCAAAACGAAATCCATCTGTTTTATAAAAATGATCATAAACAATGAAACAATGGAAATAAAAGTGCAGAAAAGCAGTTAAGTAACCCCGGTAAGTAAAATAGTTAGGTAAAAACGTGTTGGTGTGTGTGTGTGTGTGCGTGTGTGGGAGAGCAAATATAACAAATTATACCCAAGCACGAACATTTCCAAGGCGCAAAACTAAAAATAAAAAAACAGATAAGAAAAATGATGCACTCACAACGCGAATCGAAAGGGAGTGGGGGGA